TGGGCAATGCTCTAGTCTCCCGCTCATTAGGTATAAGCTTCCATTCAATTTTAGGATGTATCATAACACACTTAGGAAATGGATGTGGGCGAATGATTAAGATATGCATGACTATGTTAGGAAACTGGTGCAAGTCTCACAACTGAGTCAATAACACTAAATCTGAGGCACTATGGTTATAAATAAGGTAAGTGTGAGCAAGTGGGATACACTTGTGATTCATTAAATGCTGGGGAATACAAAAAGAATTAAAATATGCGTGTGCATATACCGTGAAAAAGCAATATAAATTTCATTAATACCTAAAATATTAATTTTAAATTTCATAAGTTGGGCTAAAGGTTGGAGCTCATGTAATTTTAACAATTTGTTGCAGTGTATCCTATTGGTTAAGTTCATGCTTGTGATGTGGGTGACTTCGGTTTAGTCCCTAATTTTGGCACTGTAATATATAATTTTTTAACATTAAATAGTCAATACAAAAGTAGAGAGTTGATGAATCTTTTATCTAGAATTAGAAAATAATGCATCTTTAAAGTGGGTGAGAGAATTTCTTAAGAAAAAAAAAAAAAGAATGGCAACTTTAACAAAAAAAGTGCATTAGAGAGTTACTAGGTTATGCATTAGCTGATACATTGCTAATATCAGTTGGGGTGTCAATGGGCTGGTTTTAGATTGGATCCCATTCAGACCAGCATCAAGTTGGACGGACCAACAAGAAATATTGAATTGGATCAGTCCAGACTTAATGGTCCAAAGTATTTATTGGATTGGATTGGACCTGTTCCATCCATAATGAATTTATATTGGATTGAGCCAATATCTGGTCCATTGATAGAAGATAAAAATATAAGTGTCAATGGACCAAGTTTTGGAATAGAACTAATCTAAATTAAAATAAATTTGAACAGATTAGATGGTCCAAACATTGAATTGGACTGGTCCAAAATGGTTCAAAATATCCGTTAGATTGGATAGGACCTGATCCATTTGTAATGGACTTGCATTGGACTGGACCAGATTGGATCAAATCCATTCCAGTTGACACCCCTAGATATTGGCCAATACAATGGATATGGGTGGAATGGCATGTATTGGGGTCCTATCAATATCTTCACCTTTCTTAATACTCAACATTGATGTCAATTTTGTAGACCAACTTTGGGATAAACTCCCAAGTACAAAACTCGTATTAGATAGAAATTTCAAAAAGGACAACAAATTGGGCTAACAAGATGAAAATTTGATTTTGAAAATAATTTTAACATAACCTCTTACACTTGTGCAAGCTTTGAGGAGATGGGCTGAGTTTGAACTTGAGTGAAATCTAGGGGTAGAGCTATAAATCCCTTGGACAGATTTCAAGACATTAAAAATGTTCAATAAACAGTGCTTTCAACGAAGGTTCAAATTTTTAATACATATCAGACCATATCAGTCAATACATATCATATCGGGGGCTTCCCGATACACTCCTACAGGAATGTTTCGGGGTCTCAACCAGTTCAGGGGACGGATGGGCCTTAAACCAACCCTTCTGAATCAGATTTAAAAAAAAATTAAAAAATTAAAAAGAAAAAGCTATTGATACTGTCTGATTATCTTGAACCTTTCTTTCAAACTTTGGTTCTACACTAGAAATTAACTTTATTATGCTAATCAGTGAATTACATTGTCAAATTATCTTGAATTATTGATACTATTCTATCAAATTAAATTGAACATCATGAACTAAATGTAGATATTTGAATGTAAAGATTGCTCCCCTATTGAATTTCAAACATTCAAATCCCCTAAAAATTATATTTCTCTCTTCTATTTCTTATTCCATATATTCTTTAATTTTTCTCTTGATCTGTCACATCGTTTGAGTTTAAACTTGGATACGACAAAGCTGTACAAGACAAACTATGAAAATGTTGTCCACAGGAAAGCAAAAGGACAGTTTTTAGATATTCAAGTAAATAAGAATAATTTATATCTACTATCCTTTTTTAAGCCAAACTTACATCATTATCAAAATTAACTTTATCACTGGCCACTTTCATTTTCTAAGTTAGTCTTTAAACATACTTTTAGATTACTAGTTGAATCTAGGGGTTATCCCTACAATGTCTGCCATTTTCTGCAATGTTGGGGCTTGAAATGCTCAATCTGATTTGTCTACTAATTAGGGGACCTTTTGGATTTGCCACCTACTCAACTCCCAGTCCTCATTATAACCCTGTATCCCCACCTTTTATTAGTACGTACTTCCCACAAATAACAGCCAATATTCTTTGGTAGAAAAATAAAAAGAAAATAAATTAAAAGAAATGTGGCTAGGATTTTGGAACTCAAAATCTGGTCCATCAATAGGTCATTTTGGATCTCAAACTAATTTTTCACGTGGAGATGTCTTTTAAATTATCATTACGATTTTTAATCATTTATCCATTTGGATTTCTAACAACATGAATCTAGAGAAATACAAAAAGGAACATCTTGTTTTCTTCTTAAACTGAACTGATAAAAATTTGAAGTGTCACAAAAAGGGGCTTGCGATAGCTTTAGGACCAGTGGTCAAAACTTTAAAAATAAAGAAAAACGGTACAAGTAATTCCCTACATTAGACTTAGAACAGATGCCATTAAGTTCTTGGAAAGAACCAGCACGAGAACTAATAATTAGAAAAAGATTTAGTTTCCCTTTTGATTAGCATGGAATATTCTTGTTGTAACTTGTCGAAGTTTAAGTTGACCTTAAAAATTTGGATATCAGTTGGTTGGTGCCTGACTCATCCCATCCCCAGTATATTATTTTGGGCAGAGTTCTAGACATATTAGGTAAGACCGAGACACCAAGACATGTAACCTCACTCATTGTCTGGTCGAACACAATGTTCACTTTACTTACTATAGTTGCTGAAGTCAAACTCGAGACTGTTGGACGACTTTCCCACAGTTGATTGCAATTCATCACCTTCCGAAGGTGGCAAGGTGAGGTTTCTACAATTCCAATGCATCGTTTTCTTTCCTTTTTTTTGTCTTGTTCTTCTTCTTATTTGCATGTTGTCCTACGCATGCATCTATTAATACTGATTACTGTATTCCTTTTTTTAGGTTTCTCTGTTCAAGTAGTGTCTATATCTTCTTATCCATAATAACTAATAAGAACGTGAATAACATTTATCCATACGTTTCATCCTTAATCTCTTAAAGATTAAGCTTCACAACAAGAGCTTTACTTATCTCGAAAGTAGTTGTTCATGCAAATCAAAACAAACAGTCATGTAAAACAACAGACTACCAATCTGGGACAATGGTGTAGAATCAGACCTACAACACCCACATACGTTCAATTTCGTCTCACCAAGCGAGACAATCAGTTCACCAAATGAGAAAACATAAAACAAAAGTTCAACCAACATGTAAAAACAAAGCTCGTAAGCTTGCCAAAGATCTATACTTCCAAAAGAAGCTACAAGCCTACAACAATGTATGGTCAGAAGAAAGAGCACCCACCAAACTACGAGAGTTCTTGATAAGTTTCAAATGCTAAAGCTAAACGGATCTTATACATATATGAGATTCAAGCGCACATAACCTCGTCTTTCACTCTGAGTTTTATTTAAAATATGACTGATTAAAATTATATGTTTAGTCTTATTATTTGATAAAGAATATAATAAGCCATAAAGTAGATTATGAACCATTTCAGTATTTTTCTTATGGATGAGCCAGTCTAGTCCCCTCAAACTCAGCTTATATGTCTTCTATCGGTCCATCTCAGCGAGAAATGACTCTACCTGCCAGAAAAAAAAAAAAAAGAAAAAAAAGTAGTATGTAACAATCTTAAAAGAATCCCTCCGTACCATAACGTGGCAACCTCAAGGGATTGTACACAATGAGCACGCTCTCATTGAATACCCCCAGCTTGTTTGGATCAGAATTTGAGAAAGTTGGATAATTTTCAGTAGTCTGCAATTTTGCGCCCATGACTGATGGGCGCTCATGACTTAAATGAAAACGGGCTCAGAGAATCATCACTGCATCTCGAGACGAGAATGCACAGCAAACCAACACGTATGCACTTCTAACGTGCACACCATGCCTTCCTCGCTTAACCTGCGCACCTTCTTCTCACCCAGTCACCCTTCTTTTTCTCTCTTTTAAGTTTTTAGCTACCTTTTAATTTGTTAATAATTTCTTTGATTCTTTCTAGAATTTTCCGTTTTCTAGCAATCTGACTACGAGAGGAAACTCGGAAAGCAAATTTTCCCTTTCTATATTCTCTACATTTTAAAGCCAGAAAGTTGCACCTACGAGTCTAGAACTAGGTTAGGATAATAGACATCAACGAAGTTAGCAAGGAGCTGCAAACTCGCACGAGTTCAAGGCTCAATGAGTGGAGAGATCGATGTTCAACATTCACCAGCATCAACGATACCAGTCTCCGGTTTGATCGGAATCCGAGATTCCGGTCGAAAAAAATAATAAAAAGAGACAAACAGATAAACGGCTTTTTTTGCATGAATTTTTTTCCGGTACGAAGGACAGGAAATATATTGCAATACAACAAAGCACAACCCATACAAAGTCCGATATGGTTTAAAAATACAAAAAACAAATATGTAGAAATAAATTAAATTATGCATATAAATATTGTTGGCTTGGATTCTTTTTGTGCAGGTTTCTCGAGAAAAAATATATTATTTATAATTTTTTATTTATATATATTCTTCTTGGAAACATACTGGAATTGATGTGTATAAATTCAGACAAGCTAAGTTTCATCATCTTTATCTTTTTTTCTTCCTGTTCTTCTGATTTAGAAGTTGTATCTTCGAGTATATCTAGGTTTACGAATCGATTTTCACGAATCGGCAAGAGAGCAAAGAGGCAATCGTTTTTGGGGAAATGCGAAGCATGAACAACGTGATAATGAAGAATCAGACCATAGAGACGCAACAGAAAAAAGAGAAAACCTAGAAAGTTTAGGAGACAAGCAAAATACGGTACCCGGAATCAGTGGCGTACTCGAAGAGCTTTCCCTTGGTGGAGAAGACGATCACAGCGACCTCAGCATCGCAGAGAACTGAGATCTCGTGAGCTTTCTTGAGCAATCCGTTCCTCCGCTTGGAGAAAGTCACCTGGCGATTGATCTTGTTCTCGATCCGCTTCAGCTGAACCCTACCTCTCCCCATTTCTACTTTTCCTTCTTCTTTTCCAGGAATCTCAAGTAACAAAGAAGGAGATAAAACTAGAACGGAAATTCTTAGATTTGAAGCAAACGATAAGCAGAAAAAAGTAGAAAGAGAGAGAGAGAGAGAGAGAGAGAGAGAGAGAGAGAAGAGCTTAGGTAGCTACATATAGATATTAACAGAATACGAAAATTTCCATTTTTTCCCTCGCCCTCTCTTTCCCACTCTCTCTCTCTCTCTGAGTGAGAGCCTCGGCAGCACAGGTTTGGTTTAATTGTATGGAAGTGTGATGAGGCAAAAGCTTTGTTTGTGTGCAAGGATGAATATATAGAGAAGTGGAAAACCGGGGAGAAGGAGGAAAGCGGGTGGGATGGGGCGGTATGGGAAAATCAGGGTGGTATTTCATGGATGTGCTGTCGAGTTGCGATTGGCTCGAGTACTGCACAGTCGTTATTGTCTCGTTTGGGAACCACAGACTTTAGACAGTCCGTACGAGTTGTACGGGCAGAGGGTATAGCTCGCTAAGAGCTGGAGCTTGGAGGGAGCAGGGAGGGAAGGAGGGGGGGTTCCATTATTTTTTTGTTTGTTCCGTTGACGGCGCCTTACTTTCTTTATAAATCCAGCATTAAAAATCCCGGGGGAGTGGTGGAAACTGGAAACTCTGGCAGGTTTCCGCCAGGCGCCAGCGTTTCTACTTGTGCAGAATCATGATCAGCTTGCAACCGGAGTTGCACTGATTTTCAGTTTTGCCAAAATATCCTTTTATTTTGCTTCTCTTCTCCGTTTTTTAAACTTTCCCTTCTTTGGCTTTGCTTTTTAGGATCTACCACTCCTACTACTATTACTATCTACCTCTCACTACACAACATACACTCATCAGCCATGACCTCATGGGTGTAAGCATTGTACTCATCCACCAGTAAGAATTGCTTGTCTTTGGTAAAATGATGATGATAATAGTGGGTCATGGTTAAAACTTAAAAGACTTCATCATTATGGCTGCTTTATGAGAGAATGGAAGTCCGAACCGGTTTGGACCATGCATGGCTTGGTCGGTTTCAGATTGTTTGGTACAGGGAAGAGAAGAGGTGGTTTTGCTAATCACTCTCAATGAACATTAAACTGTTAGGTGAGGTACCCGAATAGTTTGTCCTCTCATGCAAAAGTGGATAGGCCCATCTATACTTTCTGCTGAAATTTAATTAATTATAACAGGGATGGCGAGAATCAAACTTTAAACCACTTGGTCAAATACGTTCTAAACTATCCAACTTGAAAGCTTAACCTCCTTGAATAGGTTTATTGTGAAGTGAGCTTTCCCAATTTTCCAAAAACCCTATGAGAAACTATACTATAGGTAGAATCCTTACAGAATTTGGTAGTTAAGGATATAGCAATATCACTTATGTTGAAGGGAGTTAACAAATCCACTTTGATATAGATGCCAAAGGATTGCTAGGGCTAAAGGACATGGATGATAATAAGACAATTAGTGTTAAAAGGTATTTAACTATTTAATAAAAACAAATAAAATGGCATAATAGATTTCATGTAGCTAATCCGTATAGTTGGGACAAGGTTTAGATGATGATACGAAAACAATTAAAATGAAGGGAAAAATATATTCTTGTTATGGCAACCTCTATAATAATTAATATCCAAAGAAATAATGATCAAGGCATGGTTTGAAACTTTTGTATGGGTTTCATATTCCACCCTCACAAAAAAGTTCCCCGTATATAAGGCCAATACTCCATTTTAAGATGGTACTATGGTTGAAATAAAGTGAAGTGTTAGTGTGTTACTGGAGGTCACTTAGAGGCCATGTTTGGAATCAATGCCGATTTTTAAGAGGTGTTTTTAAGAAAGCGATGCTATATTGGTATGCCATTTTCTGAAAAAAAAAAGGAAAAAAGGAAACACATTTTTTGCATCATTGCTGGTATCTGTCACAGTTTTTTTCGTTTTTTTGTTTTTTTTTCTTTTTTCAACGCAGCATCAGCATGTTGCTGCTAGCAACATTAAAAAAAAAAATGAGAAAACACTAAAAAGGGTGTTTTTTAGACTACATTTTCTGATTTCTAAGGCATGGTCGGAGAAAATGTGAAACAAAACAACCGATGTGGTATGAAAAAACAGATTTCAAACATGGCACTAATGTGGTACCGTTTTTCCAAACACTGTCATAGTCACTAAGAGAGTGTTCTTTCTTTTCCTTATTCAAAGGAATTGTAACATCATTAACAAGAGTCCGGCTTCAGTCAGGGCAAAGCCCGTTCCAACAGCTTTTACAGCCTTGCATTGGGAATATCTCTGTACTTTGTGTGATTTATTTCATGGGAGATATTCACAATGCAAGGTTGCAAAAGGGGCTACTCGAATGGTGCGACTTGCCCCTGACAGAAGCTGAACTCCATCAGCAAGGAAGATGAAAATGATAACCCATTTTTGGGTGTGTATTTTCTCAAGATAAATTGAAAATGTGTTTCCATTTCACTCAGGAAAAAAAAAATAAAAGAAATTTGTGTTGTTTTGAAAACCAATAAGAAATTTCCTTTCAAAACCAAAAAGGCATTTTCAGTTACCCACAAGACTGATGGGTGCTAGTGCTACTATTCGGTGTGGCATATTCCTAATCCAAAATCTCTTGCAGAGTTTTGAAAAGTTTATCCTTAAAAGCTCCTATAGATCGTATCACGCCATTTCAACTGGACTTTGGCTCAAATTATAAGTAAAAAATAAAAATAGAAAAGATGAATTGATGCTTACTAAGGCTGTGTTTGGCACTACGGGTGAGAGATATGTGGTGTCACATCACACAAGAGAATCACTTTAGCTAAAATTAATGATTAGACTTCACCCCACCCCAGAGCCTATTCACACATGCAGGTTTTTAAAGGGATGCATGTTTCAACTATAAACAGCTTCAAATAATGACGGTTGTTGGCACTGACTTGTTTCACCCAGTGTTCCATTTCAGATTGCCACTCTCTTCACAATGCTCTTTAAATTTAATCACATTTTGGCAAGTAGGATTTTGGAAAACCAATATTAAAGCTGCAGTGATTAGTCTTGATACTAGGAGGAGGAGGAGGGGTGCAATGAAATTTGAATAGAAATATGTGAAATGGAACGATTGTGAAACACATTTGTGCCAACCACAATGGATGGTTGTATGCCATTTTGTATTAATCAACACAAAATGTTTTTAGATAGAATATCAATTGTACCAAATACAACCTAAGCCTGAATCTTCATCTAAATTTTGTAGAAATGTAACATCAAATCACTAAAGCTAAGTTTGGTTTGAAGGAAAATGTAGGGTAAGGAAGAGAAAGGTAGGGAGACCTTTACAGATCTTGCATTGGTTACCTTGTCTTTCCCTTCTTTTCCCTACCTTTTCCTTAAAATCAAACATAGTCTAAAACTTGCATTTGGCGCTCCTTATTAAAGATTTATATCCTTATTGCTCTTAAAATGCCCCTATGAATACTGAGTTTTTAACTACAAAAAGGAGATAAGTCCTTAAAATAATAAAGAATGCCAAATTTAACATTTTTATCAGTCAAATTTACCATTTCAAGCTTAAAGTACAATAAAATTATAAGAAAATTAAGAAAATATTATATATATATATATATATATATATATATATTGAATAAAATAATTGATTTTGGGTCTAAATACGCAAATCGGTTCAAAACAGGCAATAATCCAAATCGACTCAATTAATTATTGAGACAAAATCATAGAGCAAAAACCGTTATATTCAATTCACTCAGTTTGGATAGACCCAACTCACTTCCCTAAAAATCACAAAAAAAAAGGTAAATAACTCACATTGTCAAATCTCTCTATCTCTCACCTCCCACGCCAGCTGAAGCTCTTGGTCCCAAACAGCATATTGTACATTCACAGGTGTACAAGTTAAATGTATGTCATGGTTGGATGAAGAGAAATTATTTTCAACTATCATATACATAAACAGATGATTAGATATGTGACAATATCTTATTTACAGAATCCAAATATGTCAGGCGATTAGAGTGACCGTTAGACATAAACAAACAAAAAACATTTTGCAGAGCCCTACTTTAATAAATAACTAATACCATTACTCAATCCTGGTCCCAAGCATACAGAGTCATGAAAGGTATACCGGATACGGACTTAACCTTTGGTATTTGTAAAAATGTCGCTCAAGCTTGAACCCGCATTTTCACACTTGTCAGTATAAAAAAATAAATAAATGAAAGAAATAAAAATTGTGGGAGTATAAGTATAAATACGTAGAGTACAAAACATTGTATTTTGTATGAATTTGTATTCTCCATATTTATATTTATAATTTTTTTAAATTAAGCCTTAGGCTGTGTTTGGTTGCAATGCAAATAAGTTTATATTGATGCAAAACCTTAGTAGTGCAAATGATTTGAGTGTAAATTATAATTTATTTTTGTTTCAAATTTTAGCTTATTTTGATTAATTACAATACAACTGAAGTAAATTAAGACATGAAGCAGAATAAAATAAAATCCAAAACAAAATTAAACAAGAATCTACATTGTTTACATACATTTGTACTAATGCAAATAAATTTACACTGCAACCAAATTCAGCCTTACTAAAATTTATTTATGCATATGTACCACCAGTTTTGCATTTGCCTTGTGCCGTGGTGTTGGGTGACCCTATTTGGTGTGGTGATTTTTAAACCCATATGTTTCTGATGTAACCAAACATCGCCTAGAAAGAGAAGGAATCGGTTATGCCATAGGCTGCTTGAAATTGTCTAGTTTTTTATTGCTAGAAACGTGGTTATCTCTTGAGATTCTTGCTGGGAGAGAAGCAGAAGCCCATGTGGGAGTCGTTTTCCTTCGAATAGAATTTCCAGTACGAGATATACGATTCACTCAAAAAATAAATAAGTAATCATAGTGATCCAAACACTTCCTCCACTATAAAGGCATGGAAAATTTACTATGTATCTGAATTCTTGAGCTATCGTGTTTGTGACTTATTGGCTACAAAGAAATTTCATCATTGCATGAGCTACAGAACCAATGAATGATGGACACGAAGAAACAGTAGTCTTAAATCAAAAGAGAGCGATTCCATGGAGAAGACCCATGTGAGTGCTTCCTGTTTATCACTGATTGGACTGAAAATTCTACAATAAAAGACAACTGTTTATCTTCTCAGGTTTCGAACCGAATGAGTGGTGAGCTCGAGTGACTCACATGGCATTTCCCATGGGAGTAGTCCTATCTGATCATCACTGGTCCCTGAAAACAACTCTTG